GAAGGAATTCAAAGGGTACCTAAACGCCAGTAGGTCCCCGAAGCTTCAAGAAATTGCCTTCACTCGTGTACTTGCACTTCAAGCCGATCCGCCTAATCAATTTGCGGCATATCCCTCGGGGCATTGCCCGATACGCGTTCTCCACCATGTACATGTAGCATGGAGTCTACGTGGCTGAAGTCGCGGCAAGCGAGGAAGCTTCTCCGACGGGCTAACTTCAATGAATTTCAAATAACACCCAACGTAACACGACCAAGATATGCAAACCCATCACCGAAATACCTAATGCCTGTTTCTAAGATGGCCTGGAGTTCTTTTCAGTAACAAAAAGGGACTGGTGATTCCTCGCACCGTTGCGTGTTCACATTCTGTTGCCGCTCGCAGGGTCGATGCAACTGCCAAACGTGAGAATCGCGGCTGACCCCGCAGGCTTTAGCCACTATCTGAAACTCATCATGCCCCTTAATATATCACATTCATTGTTTGGATCCGTTTTTGTCCATTTGTTCTATTTCCTAGCGCATTTTGCGGGCGTCGATGCAGGTCGTGTCCCTGCAACAGACCTTGGAGGTTGGTAGCCGATCTGCAATGGCTTCACCGAAACTATTCTTACTTTAGTTTTCCCCATTAATTCATCTAAACATAAATTTGTTCGAACCCCACCATTGGCCTGCCAACCAGGATCATCTCCCCCCATTCAGTTTTATACTAGATAATGGGAATTCTGCGGCGCCTTGCAGGCGACTTGCCGCCAAAAGTGTCGGACCCACTTGAGGTCTCAGGACAAGGAACAGATCCCTCCCCAGATAACGCAGACAACAGCGGCATCGCTGAAAAGGCAGGTGGAACTTCTCTTTCGAAGTGGTACCGTGGAACATGGGCTCGAGTGACTACGGCTGCAATTGCTGCTGCTGCAGTGATAGTGGTGTGTGGGGCTCGTTACATTATGTCAGGAAGGTTCCCATCGTACCTGAAGATTTCACAGCTGCGAGTAGACGATGCCTCACGGCTACCACTGGACGATGCGAGCATGCAGAAGTACATGCGCGACTTCAATGAAGCAGCAGCGGAGATGGAAGCGGCTTTATCCTCAGGATCGGCCATGCGGCAGGCTTTTGAACTACACTTCACACCGTCGCTTGAGGATGGTCAAAGTCTCCCGGGAGACCCTCTAGAGATTATCAGAGACCACGTTGCCAAGATGCGAGAATGCGACGTTCCATCTGCTTCTTCTCCGCAGGCGCGGCGGGACTTCGCCCAACACCTCCAGCTATTACGCAGTATATGCCGCACAGTGGCTCTTCGCCACAATGATTTGAAATTGTTAGACACTCTGTACCAGGGATTAGGCGTGCCCTACCCTCTTCCTGTCCCTGGCCGCGCCGAGGGTTATAGTGACAGTGATGCTCCTATAGATTTTGAAGAAGTGTCAGAATACGACAGGGCAGCTTCTGCCTTTTTGAAATCCTTCGGGCTGTTTGGGGGTGACACACGACGAGCAAATCGAGAATTAGCTCAGAAACTCAGATTGTTGTTGGAGATTGAGAAGAGATATAACGACGCCAACTTGAGAGCCCGTTATTATTTCATGGAATTTCTTCAACCGTTTGAAGGAGACAGCGCCATCAACCCCGCTCATGCCCGCGCCGAACACCAGATTCCATACACTGGAAAGTCATTTCGAACAAGAGCTTTTGCACAAGCAGCTGCGCAGATATTCCGTGAATCCGATGCCAGTACGCGTTACGCTTTCATACGAAAGCTGAATCGAATTGCAGATAATTGGACGAACGAAGAAGTAGTGGCGGCTGCGAAACAACAAGCGAAGGAAAATGTGGACAGTGTTCACACCAGACTGAAGACTAAGAGGGAGCTTATGCGACGGTTGCTAAGCCAAGGCATACCGGAGGATGATCTGGTGATGATTGCATTGTTCCTTTTATAGTCTATGAGCTGATTTTATTGTCCGTTCTGCCAGGTGACACTACTTTTAGTGCGGCAGGGGTCCGCATCCGTGTTGTCCGGCCTCGTTACAGTTGCTGCTGTAGCTAGAAAGTTAAACGCAGTTTTGTATTTAACCCGTTTTTTTGTGGGATCTCCGCCTAGAAGGAAGGGTGCACCCAACTATCAGTGAGGCGAGATTTTTTTTTGTCCTCATGACCAGCCAGATTGCAGAACGGGAATAAAAAACCGGTTTCCGGGGAAAGCGAACCCACCGCTGTTTATGCATAGCCCTTGTCAGCGAGAATTTGTTTGCGCTAAGCCGGACTGTACTACGGATGATCCAGCGAATCCAGGCGCAGGCATAGCAGCGTAGAACGCTGTAGTACTGCGCAGTTTGTATTTGGAAACTAAACGTCCGAAAACTTTATTCACTGTAGAGACATCCGTGGGTGTTAGATATTTTCTGTTCGTGCTAGAAAGACGAGGCGGATAACAAACGGGAGCATTAGATATGTTAGGCCAATGCTGCAGAAAAAGCATACCGCACCAACTTGTGAAGGAATTCAAAGGGTACCGAAACGCCAGTAGGTCCCCGAAGCTTCAAGAAATTGCCTTCACTCGTGTATTTGCACTTCACGCCGATCCGCCTAATCAACTTGTAGCATATACCACGCGGCGTTTCCCGATACGCATTCTCCACTGTGCAGATATTGCATGGAGGATAGGTGGTTAAAGCCGGCGCAAGTAAGGAAGCCTCTGCGAACGGCTGAGTCTAGTGAAATTCACATAACACCTTAAATAACACGTCAAGCTAAGCCATTTCTGGCCACTTTTCTAGTGCTTCTGCTGTTGGAGGCTCAGTACAATGTGCCAAGTAGGTTGCGATCCTACCTAAAGGCACCCCAGATACCACTGGACGATGTGAGCATGCACAAGTACTTGGATGACTTCAACAAGGCCGCAGGCGCTATGAAAGAGGCATGGGAATCATCAAAATCGCCCGTGCAGCAAGCTTTTCAAAAACACTTCACACCGTCGCTTGAGGACGCCAAAGAGCCTC